CCTTCTCCCTCTCTCCCTCCCTCCTTCCCACCCTCCCCCCTCCTTCCCTCCCTTCCTCCCTCCCTCCCTCCCTCCTTCCTTCCTTCCCTCCCTCCTTCCTTCCTTCCCTCCCTCCTTCCTTCCTTCTCTCCCTTCTTCCCTCCTTCCCTCCCTCCCTCCATCAATCCTTTCATCCTGCAAACCCTCCCTTCTTCCTTCCCTCTCCCTCCCTCCTCCTAGCTCCATCTCCCTGGCACTTCCGCCTGCTTGAGTGCCACCCCATTCAGAGTGGCACCGGTGTCATACTTAAGCCCCGCTGGAGGTTGGACAGGAGTGCCAAGTGAGCGTCCTTACCAAAGACAGAGCTCAAGTGACACTCGAAACCGCTTTTGGCACAGTGGCACTTGGACGTCCTGGCTCTGTTCTCTCTGCTCTCTCGCTCTCGCTCTCTCTCTCTCTCTCTCTCTCTCTCTCTCTCTCTCTCTCTCTCTCTCTCTCTCTCTCTCTCTCTCTCTCTCTCTCTCTCTCTCTCTTTCTCTCTCTCTCTCTTCTCTCTCTCTCTCTCTCTCTCTCTCTCTCTCTCTCTCTCTCTCTCTCTCTCTCTCTCTCTCTCTCTCTCTCTCTCTCTCTCTCTCTCTCTCTTGCTTTGTCTCATTTTCATTCTTTTGTTTTTCTTCTGGGATTTATTTTTCCTCTTTTATTCCTTTTTTGTTTTCCTTCTTTTCTCTTTTTTTAAAGACTACCTTACCTATTCTTTTCTATGCTTCTTTTTCTGTTCTTTTTTCTTTCTACTATAATACTATCACCACTATAACGACTATAACCACTGCTATCACCACTGTCAGTGCTACTATTACTACTATAACTACTACTACAGCTACTAATATTACTACTATAACACTGTTACCACTGTTACTACTACTACTCTCTCTCTCTCTCTCTCTCTCTCTTTACATTTCGCAAAGTCCCTAATTCCCCAACTCCCTTTCCATCTCTGTCTTCTCTTTTCCTTCTCTTTCCCTTCCACTCTTATCCCCTCCCTTATTCTTTCCTCCCTTGCCTATCCTCTTTCGTCCTCAATTTTGATCATGCTTCTCCCCTCTCCGTCCCCCCTCCCCCCTCCATATTCATATTCTCTCCTCTCCTCTTCTTCTAACCCCCCCCCCATACCTTTCCCATTCCCTCCCCTCCCTTTTCAACCCCTTCCCTTCTCCCCCCACAATCAAAATCTACATTAACCTCTTTCAACCTCACCCCTCCTTTTCCAGCCCTATACCCTCACCCTCCCCTTCCCCTCCCCTTCCCCTTTCCCTTTCAACCCTATCCCTCCCTCCCCTCCCTCCCTTCCTCTCCTTTATCAATCCCCTCCCCTCCCCTCCCTCCCCTTCCCCTTCCCCTTCCCCTTCCCCTTCCCCTTCCCCTTCCCCTTAACAACCACCCTTAACATCGACATCGACATCAACATCAACATCAACATCAACATCAACATCAACATCAACATCAACATCAACATCAACATCAACATCAACATCAACATCAACATCAACATCAACATCCAACATCAACATCAACATCACCATCAACATCAACAATAACCTCACCTTTGACCGCAGAGATGGCGCTGCGTACATGTTGAGACCCGTATGTGCCGTAGGCGTCGGCGGCCCAGGATCCTGACATGTCATAGCCGCTGTAGCCGAGGGCGGGGCGACTCAGCGACATGCTACCACTGGGCAACTGCTTTTTTTTATGAGAAAGAAGAAGATGGCGGAAAAAATTAATTAATTTGGTGATATTGGTGAAAAAAAATTCCACTTTTCAAAATAACATACGGTTTTAATAATAACACGCTCCAAAATTCAAACTCCTTATTGTGTAGTATTATTCTAAACGTTTTTTTTTCTCTTTTACTGACGCAACGTACGTACGTATATGATGAGAAAGGGAAGAGAAGACAGGAGGAGGGGGGAGGGGGAATTTAATTAATTTGGTGATATTGGTAAGAAAAGAGGAGGTAAGGGGAGAAGAAGAATGGAAAAAAAAGTGTGTGTGGGTGGGGGGGGGGGGTGAAAGGATTAATTTTGTGGTGTGTAAAATCGGGTTGTGGTTTAGGTTGTTTTGTTGTTGTTGTTGTTGTTTTGTTTTGTTCTTCTTGGTTGGTTGGTTGAGTGTCTGTGTGTTTGTGTTTGTCTGTCTGTCGGTCTTAAGAATGAATATCGATAAAATAAGGCTATAATATATTACATGCTTGGTCGTAAAACAAACAAATTTACCAGTACTTCTGTCTTAAATATATCAGTAATTTTTTTTTGACGAAACGTTAAGATTGTGATTACAAATCCGCTTCGTAAAAAAATGAATAAATAAATAAATAACAATAATGTATTAATTAATTTTATCTTAAATTCCACTTTCCAAAATAACAAGATTTTAGTAACAAGCTACAAAATTCAAACTCCATTTTGTGTAGAATATCCCTGAACGTTTTTCTTTTTTTTTCCTCTATATCTCGACGGAATAACGTTGCATCCCCGTGAGATAAATTGTAAAATTTTGTTTCACCATTATGATGCAACAGAACGGATACTGACTCACAGCACGTACGTATCCCATTTCCTAACACCGTGATTTCAAATAACGTTTTTCTCTCTCTTTTCCGGAGCAATTTATAATGGTAGACCTATCTGTTCGGTGTTTGAGGGAAGGGCTGTTTCTGTTTCTCTTTCTTTCTCTTTCTTCTTTCTCTCTTCTCTCTCTCTCTCTCTCTCTCTCTCTCTCTCTCTCTCTCTCTCTCTCTCTCTCTCTCTCTCTCTCTCTCTCTCTCTCTCTCTCTCTCTCTCTCTGTCTTTGTCTCTGTCTCTGTCTCTGCCTCTCTGTTTCTGCCTCTCTCTCTCTCTCTCTCTCTCTCTCTCTCTCTCTCTCTCTCTCTCTCTCTCTCTCTCTCTCTCTCTCTCTCTCTCTCTCTCTCACTCCCACTCTTTCCCTTTCTCTCTCCCTCTCCCCCCCCCCTCTCTCTCTCTCTCTCTCTCTCTCTCTCTCTCTCTCTCTCTCTCTCTCTCTCTCTCTCTCTCTCTCTCTCTCTCTCTCTCTCTCTCTCTCTCTCCCTCCCTCCCTCTCCCTCTCTATCTACAACCCCAATTTTAAGTAAATAAAAAAAATACACATCCAACCCACAACCACTCAACCGCCACTCAACAACCTCAAACAACCTAACCACCTCCTTCCAGCCCATAACAACCAACTCACCTGGTTGAGCGAAGGGATGGTGGAATTGGCCGGCAGAGGGCAGGCCTGTCGCTGCGTCACCTGGGTACTCGGGTAGACTCTGGGCGTGAAGCTGATGGGCGGCGTCGAGGGCGTGTTCTTGATGGCGCCCAGGTCCTGCACGCCGTAGTCCACTGGGTGGGCGTGGGAGAGAAGATGTTTAAAGAAGTGGGGGATTTTTTTAAAGGTGGATTAATGATAAAGTAAGGGAAGATATAGGTAAATGAATGAATAGATAAGTGTTTCCTTAAAAAATGGGTAAGTGAAAAGGTAAATAACTAAATAAGAAGCATATAAATGGATGATATAAACAAAAATAAACATAAGTAAATACATAGACAAGTAAACCATCCTTCTTCCCACTTTCCACCACCCTTCCACCCTCAATCCACACTCCATCCACCCTCCATCCACTATACTTCTACCCCCCTTCCACCCACCCCCTTCCACCCCCTTACACCCTTCCACCCTCCATCCTTCCACCCACAATCCACCCACCATCCACTATCCTTCCAACCCCCTTCCACCTTTCCACTCCCTTCCACCCCTCTTCCACCCTCCATCCACCCCCCTTCCACCTTCTTTCCACCCCCTTCCACCCTCCATCCACCACCCTTCCACACTCCATCCACCCTCCATCCACTATACTTCTACCCCCCTTCCACCCACCCCCTTCCACCCCCCTTCCACCCTTCCACCCTCCATCCTTCCACCCACAATCCACCCACCATCCACTATCCTTCCAACCCCCTTCCACCTTTCCACCCCCTTCCACCCCTCTTCCACCCTCCATCCACCCCCCTTCCACCCTCCATCCACCCCCTTCCACCCTCCATCCACCCCTCTTCCACCCTCCATCCACCCCTCTTCCACCCTCCATCCACCCCCTTCCACCCTCCATCCACCATCCTCCGGCGCGGCTAAGCAACTAGGAGCACCATGATGTGTAACCTTAAACATCCTTTCTTTAACTGGGACTTTCCAAATCCTACGGAGGGACTTGGGAAAAGGATGTGTGAGGTTTGGGCCAAATATGCAAATATGTTAAAAATGTTACTGTATCCTCTCTTCTGCTTCTCTCTGTCTCTCTCTTTTATTTCTCTGGGTGTCTCCTTTTTTTGTGTGTGTTTGTGGTTCTTGTATAATTATTTTTTTCTTTTCTCTCTCTTTTTTTTCTTTTTTTTTGTTTAGGTTTTGATGTTTTCTGGATTTCTAAAAAAAAATGTTTAGTTCTTCCTCCTTCCTTGCTCCTATCTTCTCCTGATTCCTTTTTTCCTTCTCTCCATTCTCTTAACTTTCTTTTTTTCCTTTTCTCTCCTTCCTCCTTTTCCCTCGTCCCCCTCCCTCTTTCTATTTCCTTCCCATTTCCCTCCTCTTCCCTCCTTCTCCCTCCTCCTGTCTTCCTCCCTCCTTCCTCCCTCCCTCCTTCCTCCCTCCCTCCTTCCTCCCTCCCTCCTCCTCCTCCTTCTCCCTCCTTCCTCCCTCCTGTCTTCCTCCCTCTTCCTCCCTCCCTCCCTCCCTCCCTCCCTCTTTCCTCCCTCCCTCCTCCTCCCTCCTTCCTCCCTCCCTCCTCCCTCCTCCTTCCCTCCTCCCTCCCTCCTCCTCCTCTCTCCCTCCCTCCCTCCCTCCTTCTACCCTTCTTCCTCCCTCCTTCTGTACACCTACCTTGTTGTGGCCACATATTGGCGGGCGCGGAGGGCACATCTTGTACAGTAGGTGTGTACATGGCCCCTCTGCCACTGTACATCCCACTGAAAAAAGGGAGAGAAAAAAGGGAAAAAAATATTATAATTTGTAGTAATGATTAAAATGATATTAGAAAGGTAATAACTATGATAATGATTGTTATGATTATGGTGATTATGATGATTTTAATGATGATGGGGGCAAAGAGGAGGAAAAGGATAAACATGAGAATAAGAATATGAATAAGATTAAGAAGAAGAAGAAAGACAATGATAATTGCAATGACATTCATATAACACAAGATTCTTTTAAACTAAAAAAATTAAGCCAAAATATCAAAAATAACAAATCCACTCAATATAGATCTCCCCCAAAAAAATATAAGTAAATAAATAAATAAATAAATAATGATAATAAATGGTAATAATAATAATAAAGATAAGGATGATAATGATAATAATAATGATAATAAGTAAACAAAAAAAAAACAAAAAAAAAACAGTATGAACTATGACAAAAAAAAACCGTTTTACAAAGAGTCATTGTTTACATTTCAGCTTCAGGTGCGAAAGGTCACTGGAAATCGAGGACTTCTCAGAAATGACAAAAGATTGCACGGGAAGCGAGGGTGTAAGAGTGTGTCTTTCCATCTTGTCAAGGACGGGAGGTGGTGGAGTACTGCAGGGTGTTGGTCCTGCTCTTTTTCTCTTTTCTCCTCCTTCTCCTTCTCCTTCTCCTTCTCCTCCTTCTTCTTTTCCTTCTCCTCCTTCTTCTTTTCCTTCTTTCTTCTTCTTCTTCTTCTTCTTCTTCTTCTTCTTCTTCTTCTTCTTCTTCTCCTACTCCTCCTCCTTCTACTTCTTCTTCTCCTCCAATTCCCTCTCCCTTACCACCTTCTCTTCTTTTCTCCTTTCTCCCTCTTCGCAAGTTCACAAAGCTCACCGGAGACAGAATGACAGACACACACACAAAACCGGAGACAGAATGACACACACACACACACAAAAAAAAATAAAAAATTATAAATCCAACCATTCCCCTGTTTACCAAAGCCCCCCCACCCCCCACTATCTTCCTGTCCCCCCCCCTCACTTCACCCCCTCACTTGCCCTCATGAAAACTTGGAAATTTGGAGATGTGTCCCTTAAAAATGAAAAGGATGTGTTGTTGCCATCAGTAGATCTTTGGGTTTTACCGATTTGTTTGTTTTTTTATTTCTTTTTTTATTATTTGCTGTATTTGGTTTGTTGTTGAATTAAAGAATTGATAATAATAATGATAATGGTTATAATAATAGTATCAAAAGGATGATAATAAATGATAATGGCAATGATAGTGATAGTGATAGTGATAGCGATGATGATGATAACAATGATAATAGTAATAATATTGATATAGATAATGAAAAGGAAAGAGAAAAAGAAGGAGAAGAGAGCCAAGAAATAAAGAAGATAAAGAAAAAAAAATGAAAACGCGACCTGGTCATCAAATTACCATTGTTTTGAAGAGTTAGGGTGGTTATTACTAAGACTCATTAGTGAGAGTAATTAGGGTTAATGGAGAGTGCCAGGGTGAGGGTAATTAAGGTGGTTGTAATAGTAGTAGTGGTTGTAGTGGCAATGTTGTGATGGTAGCAATAATAATAGTGGTGATAATAGTAATAGTAATAGTAGTAATTTTCGTAGTAGTAGTAGTAATAGTAATAATTTTCGTAGTAGTAGTAGTAGTAATTGTAGTAGTAGTAGCAGTAATGGTAGTGATAGTAATTGTAGTAGTAGTAATAGTATTTAGTAGTATATGGTAAGAATGGCATGTATTATGGAGTAGCAGTAGTAGCGAGAAAGAGACAAAAGCACAAACAAACCAAGACCGAAACAGATACAGAAACAACAAGGACAAAAAACTCAGAACAGGAAACAATGACAAGGACATAAGAAAGACAAACGGAAACAAAAGTAAAGACAAATGATAAACAAGAGAGGGAAACAACAACAACAAAAAACAAGAAACACTTGGTCCAATTCCCCCAAATCCCACAGCATCCACCCCCACCCCCCTTCTCACCCCCCCTCCTCTTCTCTTCCTCTCCTCCTCCCCCATATTACACCACCCTTTCATCTCCCACTCTCCCCCCCCCCCTTTTACTGAGAAGAACCCAAAGACCTTGTTTTCTCTTGCCTCTCTCTTGCCTCTTTCTCGCCTCTCTCTTCTTCTCTCTCGCCTCTCTCTTCTTCTCTCTCGCCTCTCTCTTCTTCTCTCTCGCCTCTCTCTCGCCTCTCTTTTCTTCTCTCTCGACTCTCTCTTTCCTCTCTCTTGCTTCTCTCTCATCTCTCTCTTCTTCTCTTTCGCCTTTCTCTTCTTCTCTTTCGACTCTCTCTTGCCTCTCTCTTGCTTCTCTCTCGCCTCTCTTTTCTTCTCTCTCGCCTTTCTCTTCTTCTCTCTCGCCTTTCTCTTCTTCTCTCTCGCCTTTCTCTTCTTCTCTCTCGACTCTCTCTTCTTCTCTCTCGCCTTTCTCTTCTTCTCTCTCGACTCTCTCTTGCCTCTCTCTCGCCTTTCTCTCGCCTCTCTCTCGCCTCTCTCTTCTTCTCTCTTGCCTCTCTTTCGCCTTTCTCTTGCCTCTCTCTTGCATCGACAACCCGGCGCTTGCATAACCACACGAATTTTCCTCCCAGGCGTGAGGCAACCGCTGCTTCCTCTGACAGTGGACAGCCAGGAGCCTCCGGGGACGTCTCCTTGGTCATTGACGGGATGTTACGAGAGAGAGAGAAAAAAAAAAAAAAACGAAAATATGGGATTTTTTTTTTTTTTTTTTTTTGTGGGGGGGGGGTAAAGGTCCTTCGGTTTGTTGTCTCTGTTCTCCTCCTCCTGCTCTCTCTCTCTCTCTCTCCCTTTTCCCTTCCACTCACCCCTTCCCTTCCCTTCCCTTTCTCCCCTACTCCTCCTCCTTCTGGAAGTCTAGGTTAGAATGGCGGTTTTCTGGTTTTCAATCTTTGGTTTTATTTTGTTTTTCGATTTTTTTTTTTTTTTTTTTTTTTACTTGAGGTTTCCTTTTTTTTGGGGGGAGGGGGCTCTCGGGTCTGGTATTTATTTCCTTTTTCTTCGAGGTTGAGAAAGTTCATTTTCTTCATTCGTATGTGTCCGTTACTTCTGCGTCTGCTTCTCCTTCTTCTTCTTCTTCTTCTTTTTCTTCTTCTTCTTCTCCTTCTTCTTCTTCTTCTTCTTCTTCTTCTTCTTCTTCTTCTTCTTCTTCTTCTTCTTCTTCTTCTCCTTCTCCTTCTCCTTCTCCTTCTCCTTCTCCTCCTCTTCTTTTTCCTCCTCCTCTTTTTCCTCCTCCTCTTTTTCCTCCTCCTCCTCCTCCTCCTCCTCCTCCTCCTCCTCCTCCTCCTCCTCCTCCTCCTCCTCCTCCTCCATCCCATCCCATCCCATCCCATCCCATCCTCCTCCTCCTCCTCCTCCTCCTCCTCCTCCTCCTCCTCCTCCTCCTCCTCCTCCTCCTCCATCCCATCCCATCCCATCCCATCCTCCTCCTCCTCCTCCTCCTCCTCCTCCTCCTCCTCCTCCTCCTCCTCCTCCTCCATCCCATCCCATCCCATCCCATCCCATCCTCCTCCTCCTCCTCCTCCTCCTCCTCCTCCTCCTCCTCCTCCTCCTCCTCCTCCTCCTCCTCCTCCTCCTCGTAACAAAAGCAGGGCAAACATACAGCTTGTATAAAGTCACACAAAATGCGGACAGTCGGAAAAGGTTGACCTATGACCCGTGTCCTGTCGTCCCGCCCTTACACTGTAGGCCGCGAGTTGTATCTGTTTTGTGTTTTATTTCGATATGTGGATATGTCTGTTATTATGTCTGTTTCGCGTTTTTATTCTCTGTTTCTCTTTTCTTCCTCTTTTCTTTCTCTTTTCTTCCTCTTTGCTTTCTCTTTTCTTCGTTTTTTTCCCTCTCTTATGTTTTTAACGCCTTGATTGTTTTGTTTTTTTTTACTTTCCTTTTTCGCTTTCATATTTTCTTCCTTATCTCTGTTTCTATTTTTTTCTTGATCTTTCTCTTTCTTTTTCTCTCTTTCTCTTAATTTTCTCTTTCTCTGCCTTCGTTTTTCTTCTCTTTCTCTGCCGTCGTTTTTCTTCTCTTTCTCCTCTTGCTGTGTGTGTGTGTGTGTGTGTGTGTGTGTGTGTGTGTGTGTGTGTGTGTGTGTGTGTGTGTGTGTGTGTGTGTGTGTGTGTGTGTGTGTGTGTGTGTGTCTGTATGTGTGTGTCTGTCTGTGTGTCTGTGTGTCTATGTGTCTGTGTGTAAACACATGCGTCCGTGCTAGTGCGCGAGTCTCAAAAATAAACTTCATTCGTATTTAATTCACCACTAATTAAATAATAATAATAATAATAATAATAATAATAATAATAATAATAATAATGATGGTGATGATGATGATGATGATGATGATGATGATGATGATAATGATGATGATTATGATAAAAAATAAATAAAAGAAACTTATGCTAACGAATAAATCCACAAAAAAACTCAGCAGTAAAACATAAAACGACGGAACACCACAACGCCCGAACCGCAGTCTTAACTTTACCACTGAAACACGCAGAAGCGATCAACCATGACCAGCTGTATCCTGTGGCGCCGACACTCAAACACGTATGTACATATGCAGGCACAAACGCATATATATTACAACAGACATATCCGTAATTATGCGTACATGTGTATGTATACACATGGACATATGCATGGATATATCATATACACATGCATAGATATATCCTATACATATGCATGGATATATCATATATATATATATGCATATATATATATATATATATATATATATATATATATATATATATATATATATATATATATATATATATATGATGTATATAGATTCACGCAAACATACACGCATACCCCCTCAACAACCCTCCCCCCCCACATGGCCCTCCCCCCATAATGCCTCATGGCCTTTACAAATCAATTTTCACCCCACTGACCCCTCCCCCCCAATCGAATCCTAAACGATGATATCATTTGCATTCCCCCACCTAACCCCAACACATGGCCC